CTTAAGGTACTCAGGGCGGATCTCATCCACCCCCGGTGCCTTGCCACCGAGAAGCTTCTTGACTACCTCAGTGACTTCAGCTTGGGTGATGGACGAGTCCACCTCTGAGCCCTCAGCCTCTGCTTCCTCATCGGAAGACATGGCGCCGGGATTGAGGAGATCCTCGTATTATATAGTATTATAAGTATTCCTTCCACCGTCCGACAATGTCCCCAGTTGAGGTCAACAGCTGCCCACCTCCACTGTAAACAGTTTTGGCAGGGCACTGCTCCCCCCTCCTGAGGCGCCAGACGGTTTGCAAGAATCTCTTCGAGGTCGACCGATAGTCCTTCTCCATGGCCTCACTGAACTCTTCCCAGACCCGAGTTTTTGCCTCCACAACCGCCTGGGCTGCAGCCTGCTTAGCTTGCCGAGACCTGTCAACTGTCTCGGGAGTCCCACGAGCCAACCAGGCTCGAAAGGACTCCTTCTTCAGCTTGACGGCATCCCTTACTTCCGGTGTCCACCGCCGGGTTCGGGGATTGCCACCACAGCAGGCACCGGAGACCTTACGGCCACAGCTTTGAACGGCCGCATCTACAATGAAGGTGGAGAATATGGTCCACTCGGACTCAATATCTCCAGCTTCCACTGGGATCTGGTCAAAGCTCTGCCGGAGGCGGGAGTTGAAGATCTCTCTGACAGGAGATTCTGCTAAACGTTCCCAACAGACCCTCACAATACGTTTGGGTCTGCCGAGTCTGTCCAGCTTCCTCCCCCGACTATATCTAGCTGGTACCTCTCAACCTCCTGCACAAACTCGGGCTCCTTCCCCACCAGCGAGGTGACATTCCATGTCCCCAGGGCTAATCTCCGTGTCCAGAGATCGGGTCATCGGGGCACCTGCCTTCGACTGCTGCCCAGTCTACTGTGCACCGGCCCCTTACGGATCCTCCTGCAGGTGGTGGGAGGATGTCCCCATATCGCTCGTTCGGGCTAAGCCCGGCCGGGCCCCGTTAGGGGAGACCCGGCCACCAGGCGCTCGCATTTGAGCCCCGACCCCGGGCCTGGCTCCAGAGTGGGGCCCCGACTGCACCATGCCGGGCCACATCACGGTTCTTTAAGTGCATTTAATTGAAAATACTTCTGTTCTTTAAAGTAAATTTGTATGGAGTGTTTTTACACTGTGGCAACACTGAACACCTTTTCCACTCCTTAGCAGAATTAGAACCTAAAAAAACCTACAGTAATCGAGGGCTTTCATATGGGACTTACTCTGTCTTTTACCAAAGATCCTGTTTACAGTAGAAAGCAGGCAGAAACATGATAGCTCCAAACAGTAATGTGGTTTTAATGGGCCCCTGCCCCCCCCCCCCCCA